GCTCACAGCAGTCAGCTCACAGCAGTCAGCTCACAACAGTCAGCTCACAGCAGTCAGCTCACTGCAGTCAGCTCACAGCAGTCAGCTCACAGCAGTCAGCTCACAGCAGTCAGCTCACAGCAGTCAGCTCACAGCAGTCAGCTCACAGCAGTCAGCTCACAACAGTCAGCTCACAGCAGTCAGCTCACAGCAGTCAGCTCACAACAGTCAGCTCACAGCTGTCAGCTCACAGCAGTCAGCTCACAACAGTCAGCTCACAGCAGTCAGCTCACAACAGTCAGCTCACAACAGTCAGCTCACTGCAGTCAGCTCACAGCAGTCAGCTCACATCAGACAGCTCACAACAGTCAGCTCACTGCAGTCAGCTCAGTTCACTGCAGTGGACTCATGTGAGGTTCTAAGGTCAATGGGTACGTCGTGTCGCTAGCTGGGATGAGGTAATGGGTGAGTAATGGGGAATAATGGAGTCCTTAATGGGGGAATGAAGGAATGCTTAATTGGGGAGTATTGGGTGAGTAATGGGGCAATGAATAAATATTATAAGATTGGATTACGAACAGCCTCATGAATATTATGTATTAAAATGTATACTGTAATGTACATAAAAGTATAATGTAGATAAAATGTATAATGTACATAAAATATAAAGTATATAAAAATATATCGTAATTGGTTCGGCTATAAAATAAGAAAATTGTTAGTCATTCGAATAGCTTAATGCCTTATATAATGGCTATGCTGATGGATATATTAATGGATATGTCAACACAGTTGCTGCTCAATTGAAAATTGAATATTTAAATGAATTTATCTGTTGAAAGTTTATCATGTAATTAAGCGATATGTAATAAACATGATGATGGTAGGTTGTTTATTATAATGAGTAGGCAGTGGCTGATTATGCATGAATAAATATCGAAAAATTTTATTAATAATGGGAAATTGATGTATATCTAAATCTCAATTGTGGAATGAAGTTCAAAATTCAAATCTGCATTATTATCTAGTGAAGGAAGCCTTGGAGATTGGGATCTCCATTAGGGATCTTCATTAAAAATCTCCATTATTATCCATTGATTCGCGGGAGTAAAATAAGAGTAGCGGCTCAAGAGGCACGGCTTTGTCCTCCTCACAATACGGCGACAGTGAGGGCCTCACGACTGAGAGCGAGGCCTCACGTCTGAGAGCGAGGGCCTCACGTCTGAGATCGAGGGCCTCACGACTGGGACGAGGGCCTCATGACTGAGAGCGAGGGCCTCACGACTGAGAGCGAGGCCTCACGTCTGAGAGCGAGGGCCTCACGTCTGGGAGCGAGGGCCTCACGACTGAGAGCGAGGGCCCCACGACTGAGAGCGAGGGCCTCGCGACTGAGAGCGAGGGCCCCACGACTGAGAGCGAGGGCCTCACGACTGGGAGCGAGGGCCTCATGACTGAGAGCGAGGGCCTCACGACTGAGAGCGAGGCCTCACGTCTGAGAGCGAGGGCCTCACGTCTGGGAGCGAGGGCCTCACGACTGAGAGCGAGGGCCTCACGACTGAGAGCGAGGGTCTCACGGATGAGGGCGAGGGCCTCACGACTGAGAGCGAGGGCCTCACGGATGGGGGTGAGGGCCTCGCGACTGAGAACGAGAGCACATGACTGAGAGCGAGGGCCTCACGGATGNGGAATACCGCCGGGATGTGGAGGTGCGGCGGCGATGCGGCGGAGGAATACCGCCGGGATGTGGAGGTGCGGCGGCGATGCGGCGGAGGAATACCGCCGGGATGTGGAGGTGCGGCGGCGATGCGGCGGAGGAATACCGCCGGGATGTGGAGGTGCGGCGGCGATGCGGCGGAGGAATACCGCCGGGATGTGGAGGTGCGGCGGCGATGCGGCGGAGGAATACCGCCGGGATGTGGAGGTGCGGCGGCGACGTGGCGGAGGAATATCGCCGGGTTGTGGAGGTGCGGCGGCGATGCGGCGGAGGAATACTGCCGGGATGTGGAGGTGCGGCGGCGGTGCGGCGGAGGAATACCGCCGGGATGTGGAGGTGCGGCGGCGACGTGGCGGAGGAATACCGCCGGGATGTGGAGGGGCGGCGGCAAAGCCGATAAAACCCTTTAAAATTAATAAATAAGGCGGGGTTAATGGAACCTATTTGCAAAGTCTTTCTTCAACATTTTTCTATATATATAATTTTAATAAAAACTATTTGCAAGCATTTTCTTTAACGGTTTAAATTTTAATTTTTTTCTTTAATGGGAAGCATTCTTTCAAATATCCTGAAAAATTATATTTTTCATCACAATCCTTCGCGAGTTAATTTAGTTTTAGAATATGTTGCTGAGGAATATAATGTAAATAATCCCAAAACCTTATAAATAAATTGTCAGCAGTAAATTTCACAAGCAGAAAATATAAGAACTAATAAAACATCAGATCATAAGTCGAGTGCATACAATTTCCTTGAGAATAAGCAGTCACTTAATATATTGCACTAATTATCATGTACTGTCAATTGGCCGTGCCAAGAACTACTTAGATTTTTAATAAGGAGTTCCGGTGCCGGTATGATTGCGTTAATTAGCGGCCAGAGGAACGAGCGTCACGCTAATTGACGGCGCAGTGACGTTTTTGTGAGGGTAAAACGAGGGTGACGTGGCGGACGATGGCAGCAGACGATAGCAGCAGACGATGGCAGCAGACGATGGCAGCAGACGATGGTGGCAGACGATGGCAGCAGACGATGGATGAGGGGCAGGGTAATAAGAGGATATGTTGATGAGGGGTGAAATGGGGATCGGCGATGGTATGGGAAGGGGGCGGAGGGGTTACTCGATTAGAAGAAAGTGAGGGTGAGGGGTGAGGGATGATGGGGGAAAGGTGAGGCTAAGAGGAGGAAGGTTGGTCAAGTGAAAATAGGGTGACGGAAGTGAAGGGGTGAAGGGAGAGAATTTAATGATGGGGGATGGGGAGGGGGCTGTCATGAATTTAATTAAAAATTGCATATATATATTAACTCATTTTTAGTGTCTATACACATAGTAAATAGTATTATCTTTGATAGCCTAATTAGTCCCTTTAAAGCGCCTTATTAAGGCCGCTGGAAGCGCCTTATCAAGGCCGCTGGACGCGCCTTATTAAGGCCGCTGGAAGCGCCTTATCAAGGCCGCTGGACGCGCCTTATCAAGGCCGCTGGACGCGCCTTATCAATGCTGCTGGACGCGCCTTATTAAGGCCGCTGGAAGCGCCTTATCAAGGCCGCTGGACGCGCCTTATCAAGGCCGCTGGACGCGCCTTATCAATGCTGCTGGTCGCGCCTTATCAAGGCCGCTGGACGCGCCTTATCAAGGCCGCTGGACGCACCTTATCAAGTCCGCTGGACGCGCCTTATCAAGGTTTAATTAAGGCGATAAGGCCAACAAAGCGTCGTCCCTGCGAACAAAAGGCGCGCCTGAGGGCCGCCCTATGGTCGCCCTCTGATAGCGCGCTAATGGAGAGATAACAGCGCCATGCTGACTCAGCTGATTCAGCTCGCATTCAGCGGAGTCAGCTCGCTGCTGAGGCAGCTCAATGCTCAGCTGGTTCAATATTATGATTCAGCTCAGCGCTGAATTATGTCATCACGGAGTCAGCTTGACGTAAAGTTACCCAGATTACTTATGGTCACGCCAGTTTTTTCCATTTTGGTCTGCGTAGAGTCAGCTCCCTTTGATGAGCTGACTGTGTAGGTTGCTAAATTAGAGAGCTGCAGTGAGCTGACTGCAGTGTAGCGGTTGCAGTCAGCTCACAGCAGTCAGCTCACAGCAGTCAGCTCACTGCAGTCAGCTCACAGCAGTCAGCTCACAGCAGTCAGCTCACAGCAGTCAGCTCACAGCAGTCAGCTCACAGCAGTCAGCTCACAACAGTCAGCTCACAGCAGTCAGCTCACAGCAGTCAGCTCACAGC